TGTAGTGTAAGGGCATTTGTGGTTTGACAAAAATGTTAGGTTCTTTTTTATCCCTGTTTCACACAATATAGTGGATCATAAATGTATGGAAGGGACAATGTAAATTGACAAGTGAAGATGAAGGGAATTAAAGCACTTAATTAAGATAAAGTAAAAATGATGCGTAAACAAAAAATGATAAGAATTGTTTCATGGAAGGAAAAACTTTGTTGACTTGGCCTTAACCAATAATCATTAGATCTGAGACAGAATTGCACCAATATTTACTTCTTTCTTTTTCCTTTTGATCAGCCAAGCTAGAAAATAGATGATGGAAAAATGGAGTATTTACTGCAGCAGAAACAACGTGGCAAAGCCAGTAATTGTATTTACCTAGCAGTGTGTGTGTATTGAATTTTCTAGCGGCAACTCGCTTCCATTTGCTATAAACATGCCGTGGCATTTCCTCGGAGAGCAAACCTAAACATTGCCGCTTATTTACTGATTTATTCTCCAGAGTTTTATGGGGCTTAATTCCATTTCCGATAGTTCCATACTGCTGGAAGAAACTTTGCTCCCCAGAAAAATAAACAAATGAAATGTTTACAAAAACTCAGGGTTTCCAAATGAACGAAAGTTGTACAAATGTGAGGCGGCTTTGAGAACCGCGGCAGCGGCCCTTGGTTCATGACAATATAAATAAAGATTGTTTATGAACTAAATCTTGGATTTGGTAAAACTAAAAGGCTTGTGTTTGCTGAAACACCACCAAAGCAGGATGGCATATAGATACTCTATGAATTGACCATAATTATAAAGCATGATGCAAAGACTAAACAACTCTTACGTACTTGTCCTTAACACACCACAGCGCCATCTATCAGCAGAAGTCTCATGCAGTACCATTGCCATTTGATATTGTAAGGAAATCTTTATCATTTGACATGAAATAAAGTACAACTTGTTAGGGTTTTGAATAATGTTAGCCTTGACTGTGCATCCATTAGGGTGGATTTTACAACAGCTATTTACATGACCTTTATGTCCTTCATAGGATGGAGCAATAGAGTCCCAGTAATTCAGGATGAAAAAGCGATAAATCATCTTATATGTGTACTTTTGGAGTGTCGCGGTAGATGTACATAATAGGCATAAGGCCTGAAGTAGACAATTCAACCTGCTACAGATGCCTACTGTTGTTTCTGAACGTCAAACTCAAAAGTTGACCAAGTGTCACTGTGATAAATCTTCTTCTCCAACTCGGTGCCACTAATATATGTGTATGTTGTTTGCAGTTTTTTTTAGCAATTCCTTCAGTTTTCCGTGTTATTCAGATGTTGATAGTATAGCAATATCCATCTATACATTAAGAGGTGTTGGATATGTTAATGAAAGTATTGCAGAAGAATTAGATATATATCATATCTATTATATTATGTAAATAATTATATTTGTAGTAAACATTATTCTCTATCAATTTATTCAGTTTTCAGGTGTTCTAGTTTTATTGAGAACATAACATATATATTTGCAGTAAACAGGCTCATGTGGTCTGGCCTTTCTGATGTCATGTGACACAGTAACATTTAAGAGGACTTCAAGAATAATAATCAAAACTGGAGATGCACTCAATATAAGGTTATACTGATTGAAATCTGAAAGCACTAAGGTTTAGCCATGAGACCCACATTTGTTTGTGCGACTTGGGAGATGATATCATTTGCAGACAGATTTTAGATGAGTTTTAGTACATTTTTTTTTTTCATACATCAGTTTACAGCAGATCTGAGTGATTTGTTTGTTTGTTTGTTTGTTTGTTTGTTTGTTTTGTTTTGTGTTTAGTGAGTGACATTGGATTATTGTTTGTTTTTAAATGAATAACAGGAATATTATTTTGATATAAACTTTTTAAATGACTATTTATATAAATATTTGTATGTTGATTCCTTTGTGTCATTGAAATTTGTAATTATCATTCCAACATCACTTGATAACACAGGCATTAATCAATATATTTCGATTATTACTCTCTTGATTAAATTAAACATTATGTTGAAAACCTCAGACATAAATTCTGTAAGAACTTAGATAAATATTTGAAAAATTGACATTTAACTCCTTTGAACTTTTTGATGTCATAGAAAAAGCTGTTTGATGTTTGTCAATACTCACATGTGTGGGTACAGGCATGGTTGAACTCTCATTCATGCATGAAGATTAATATTTCTATATAGCTGGGCCACTGAATAAGTTTGTGTGATGATGGTATCTGGGATTTAACAAATTTGATTATGTGTTTGTGTCATTTTGAATAGGAGGAATGTGACCGTTAAGTGATGTAAAAAATACATAAACATTCATTTTCATACATTAGCCTGCTCTCAATGACAGCATTAAAAGATAATCATCAAAATGGAAAATAGATGGAACTGTTTGCATGACAAAGGATGGCAGCAGTCTCTCTCTCTCTCTCTCTCTCTCTCTCTCTCTCTCTCTCTCTCTCTCTCTCATATCACCCTTATTTGTGCCTGAATATTTTTTTTAAAATAAAACATTTTCAAAAACATCAATTTTCCATTATTTGTACCCAGTTACTAGTAACCCCTACCATAAATTTAAATCTTTCGAGTGCCTTTTATCAACAGTATCTGAAAACAGGAAGGGTAGTTTTCTGTTATGCATTTTCTTAAAATGATGACATTATAAAGGTTGCAGCAAAGAAGAGACTCACAATAAACACTGCATCCTTTGTTGTTGATGGACATTTAGACAACGTTAATGTTTCTTGAAATGTTTATCTCGTTCTTGGCAGACATTATCGGTGAATGTGAGGGCGAGGGAGAGTTGAGTCACATTGGTCCGTTATTAGCCATTAAGAGGCCTAACAGGGACAGTGCATGTAGTTCTACCATCCTGACACACCTCTGGGATGTTGTGTTGGCGCCACAGTTGACATGAAAACATCTTTGTGTTGTCAAAAAAATAATAAAAATACCAGCAGCAGACATATGCATTATTTAAGAGGAGTAAATATGAATGGCGAGGATGGTAAAGAAATTGGAAATATTCTGTTTGTGGAATTTAAATTTGTTTGATGTCTAAGAAGATGCATTTTAATGTATTGAATAACATAATTTCATTATTTACTGATTTATTCAACAGAGTTTTATTGGGCTTTATTCCATTTCTGAATGTTCCATTATTTCTCTTGTCAGTGTATACTGACACTAAGTTCGATTAGTATCATAATTTTTTCACCCCCTATCTCTAGGTTAGTATTATCTAGTGCATGATAAGTAGGTTATTATATATTTAAAGTCTGTGTGTGCTGTTGTGTGTTTAAATGCATCTGGTACATTGTCTACAGCTACAATTGTTCTGCCAGCCAAAAAATGTCTAGACTTTCCCCATAAATAATGCACTCAGGTGTAACCTTTTAATTTTTTTTTTTTTTTTTTTTTTTTTTTTTTTTGTGGGGGGAGTACCAAAGACATTTTTATATGTCTCTATTTTTTTTACAAATTTGAAACATTATGTGTGAACATGATAATTCAATAATTCATTTTGAAGGATTTTACACTTCCAAAAGTGATATTGGTCCTTTATTTCTTATCATTCTGTAATGTTTAGTTTGTGTGTACTTGTGAAGGCCATCCATTTATCTGGTACACATCAACAGTTAGGTCATTGTCAGTACAGATGTGAGTGTGTATAAGACCCACTCATTCATTAGGGTTAACAAATGACTGGAAAAACACAGTTGGACAAGTCTTATTGTCGCGGTGTGTGCTCTACTGTTCTGCCATATCCGTGTTTAGCATGATGGGATATACTGGGTGTCGCGGGATGGAAATTCTCGTCCAGTTCTAAGTACAGTTATATTGTTGCCAATTTTAATTATCTCCAGTTGCTTTTTTTTATTCCACATACACCAAAGGGGCTTGGGAAGGGTATAGATAGTATAATTTTTAGAAAATTTTAGATAAAGAAGATCATTTTTGCTTGGAGTATCTGCCATTTTTGCTGCAGTGTTCATATCTATTTAAGGTTTTCAATTAAATAATTATGAATCTAGAAATAAGTACTAAGTACCTAACTGAATATCAAAATGGGATGTGTTGGCCAGTGAAATGTGAACAAGGTGTGTTCTGTATGGTCCAAACATTTACCCCGTTCACACTACAGTTGCCAAAATGCGCATTTCTATAATTCGGATTTTTCGTAAGGAATCTGATTCGGTATTGCGTTCACACTCGCTAAGCGAATCCGAATCCCACGTTGAAAATTTCAGGTAAAACTTCCTGTTTTGAACACTCGCGCATGCGCCGCACAGGAAATCTTAAAATATCAATAAAAATTTGTGACGACAAATGCAACTCAAAAGACATTCCAGCATTCTTGAGAGGTATAAGGTGGCAAAATAAGTTTGTTTCCTCATGTTGTAGTGAGTGGTGACCGCCAAATACGTTTGGTGCAATCGCTAAAGTAATAAACCAGCGTTCATAGATATCAGCAATTTATATGCACAGATGCGCAGTAAGATCTGTACAGGTGTCGATTCCGGTAAGTTATCCGGATCGCGCTTAGAAATCCACCTCGCTTGCAGGATTTTGAAAATGCGCATTTTCAAAATCCTCTTGCGTTCACACTACTGCATTTATTCGAATTGTGACCTAATTCGCAACTTATCCGGATAACTGAGCGTAGTGTGAACGGGGTAATTGTTGACAAATTGTTTAACACTATCTAACATCTTCCTGTATCTGTATACAAAATATGCTTGTACTGTTTGTACAAATAAATAATACACACTGTTATATTTCTGTATCATTTCTTTACAACTGTTTAACTTGTACTTAGAAAAGTTGTGTATCTCTGACATAAATTAAACATCAAAAAGCTTCTTTTAACCTAACTGTTTAAGTTGACCAAGCGAAAAATCTATATTGCAGTGGATTATGAAAACTAGTAATTATTGATATGCACATATATTACTATGTCCCCACTGTTTTGTGTTCCAGTTGGCCAAGGAAAGGGAGCGTCTCCAGGCCATGATGCAGCATCTCCACATGACCCCCAAACAGCCACCCCCCCTGGCCCCCCTCCAACCCCCTCAGGTGGACAGCAAACACGAGCTGCCCGTCAGCATGGCACTTAATCTTACACCTCAGTCGGTACGTACATGCACGTGTGTGTGTGTGTGTGTGTGTGTGAGAATATAAGTTTTTTTTTTTTTAATAATCACTGTTTATCTGTAAAGTGTAACAAATCATGTTTAATTGGCAGCTGTGTAGATCAACTAAAAAGATATAAAATAATTTTAAAGTCATTTTTTCTTTTGGTCATGATTTTAATGGGTTTTTGATAATATTAGTTCTTAACAAATTTATAAGAAGTGAAATTTTAAATAATTTAAAACATATAAATTTTTCATCACAGCAACTATCATTTTGTCATCTAGATTTTATGTTGATAACAGAATGTAGATACATAAAATTAATATATGGTACAGTCAAAGTATACCAGAACCACTATTTTTAACAAGTCTTTATTCATTTCAGATTCCTTCTCCCCTCCAGTTAAAACAGCCAGTAGTGAGCGTCCCCAACCCCCTTCCCGTGCTGACACCCCCCACACGTAGCCCTCCCACCAACAGCACGCCCAAACAGAGCGCGCCAACGACACCGCACACACCTCAGTCCATGCTGTCAACACCGCAGAACTCGCGACCGAGCAGCGCGGGGCCCGTGCGGAGACGTGTCTCGGATAAGTGCAATCTGCCAATCTCAGCAGGTACTGACCAGTTAGACTCCGTGCATTCAGGTATCGCTACTCCTTCAGTTTCTACCAGGTCTCTTGTGACATGCACGGGCACGATTCTTACACCACGTGTTTGTTTTTTGTTTGCATGTGTGGGCACTTTACGCTTTCAGGTGTTGCCTGAATTGTTTCGTATTAAGTTGTGTTGTGACATGCACCAGTACGATGTGTTCACTGCGTGTTAGGATTGTTTGCATGTGTGACTATTCAGTGTTTTCTGTTTAAACTAATCTGAACGTTTGCCTGAACAATTTTTTTAAAAATTTTTACATTCCATTTTATATTGGCTGCATAATTTTATGTATTTCTATATTTTAGCTTAACAATTCATTTGCTCTCAGATATGATTTTTATCATTGAAATATCACTCTATTTCATTTCTCTGAGATGTGCCTGAATTAGGCTTCATTCACATGCAATGTCTATTTTCTAAATTCTATTTTCTATTCGCGGTATGTCTTATGATCATGGTCTGTGCCCTGAATATCCCGCGGCGTAATTACTGGCAGCGCGAGCCAGTTACTTTAAGTTACTATAAGTAAATACTATTAGAAAATAGTCATTGCATGTGAATGAAGCCTTAGACTTGAATGGCCAGAAAACTGTATACTTACTTTGTGTGGAATATCTAAGTTTCAGACATCTTTGCTGTGTTGTCATTTCTTCTTGGTGCTTTTATTCTTTACTCACTGTTTGACTGAGCATTGACATTGTATCTGGCAATCAGGATTGCTATTACACTAATTGTTATATAATTTTCTAAAGATAACATTTTAACTATTGGAGATAAGTGGTACAGCAGATATATAGTAAATGTAATAGCGCCCTTTGGCTATTGATATAAAAAAATGTCAAAAATGAAAAATAGCGTAACAGTAAAGTTTTAAATTTGTGATGTAGGTAAATTATTGTAATAATTTTGTAAATATTTGTAAGGATTATTTGAAATATTAAGTTACATGATAAACAAAGTAAATTGAATGAATTGATTTGCGTGGATGCAGTTGTACCAGGTGTCTATATTACTATGGATAGAATTACATTTGCCTTCACCACTTAGTTGTAGCTGCTGTGAACTTTGACCTACAATTTCAGAAATACAACGAAATCGAGAGTTCTACAAGAATACGGACGTCAGGCCGCCATTCACCTATGCCTCGTTAATCAGACAGGTGAGACAGGGGGTTTCATGGTTGTTACAATATTTTCACAAAGTTTAATTATTTACAGATTGTATACATCAATCAAGGTTGCTTGATTTTATGTATCCATGCAATCTTTGATAGAATTCATATCTTGTTCACTGAAAGACTGCTTCTCTTGTACAAAGTGAGGGGTTCTGGCTTTGAGAGAGCATTTACAGGATAGAAAATTATGCTTACAAGTTTGATTTTTATTTTCCTTTCCTTTTAAATTTCTAAAACAAGGGTATTGTTGTGTGTGTCATACATGTGCATTTCCTGTTGTTGACTTCCAGATATTTATTCAAAAACTTGATTAATGTAATTAATAAGTTGATATTTTGTTAGCTATGTGTCAGTAAATATGTACAAAATGCTTTTGTAACTGAAAAATAATGATTATAATAGTGATATGTTTAAGTTATTGGTTTAAATCTGACTGAACACACTCTCTGCTCATATCTTTAGTGTTATGCTAGGTTTCATCTTGTCTCAATCTTTTAAATGAATTGTTATGGCACAAAAAATCACCACTCTCAACTATTTTTGATTTTACTTTTTTGGTTTATTTTTGTAAAAATTTAAATTGATAAAACTTTGAATGCAAACCGTGATACTGTTCCAAATTTTATGATATATCATGAGAATTAATATATATAACAACGAAAAAAATGTCGAATGTCAATGTTTTAGAAATTTTGATTGAAACAAGGAGAATAAACTTGTATGTCAAGCATTGTCGTCTATCAAAAAGGATTACGCCCACGGCCTTGTATTGAAAATAAGTAAAAATTGAAATGCTAAGAGATTCAGAGCAGAGAGAGTTCTAGATATGGTGTTTTGGGTCCAGTTGCATGAAGAATACAATTTCTTGTCATCTCCCTGAACTTTACTTCACAGCTGCACCTTATTCTTCACAGTCACTTGTTCTCTGTTATTTTATTATTTTTAATTATTTATTCATTTTTATTTATTTTATTTTATTTTTTGGTATTATTATAGCTAAAACATCTTATTCCTTAGCATGTCTCTTTAAACTCAGCTGTTGATATGAAATTAATCCTTGTTCTGGTTGCTAGAGATTTTCCATATTTATAACCTGATTATATTCTGTTGTCTTAGCATAAAATAACACATTTTATCTTTTACTTTTTCATGCATATCAGTTTAATTATTTTTTCTTAAGTTTTATGTTGCTTTGTTTTAAAGATTAACATTTAACCTGATAGATAGCTTTGAATTAATTTTTTTTTAATTGCTGCGGAAAACAAAATAGTGTTAATAGTCAACAAAGCTACTTTTTATCTTCTTAACTGACTTGGAATAATTAATATTAACTACTATTTTTATTAAGCTAACATACAAAATATGCATTGAAAACGTTCTGCCTGTCACAGGTTCTAAAATGAATATGTTAGTTTAGAGGAAGATGAAGTTATAAATAAAAAACATGGTATAATATATGATGAGGGGATTGTGTAGATGCAAAATTACATTATTTACATCAGAAAAACTTTGTAAAGTTTTGCATTGATAAGCATTAATTGAAAGACTAAACATGTTCATTTTATGGCATTCTATTTGAGTTTGAATTCAGGATATTGATTTCTATAAAGAACTACAAAATTAGCTGATTTCGCAACATTTTTCAGACCTCCTTTTGTCTAAAAAAATTTTTTAAAAACTTAAGATATTTAGAGCTTAAAATCTGCTGTGTTTTAAGTACAGGTCATGATCAAAAACACCAAATTTTGTATCAATATAAGTGAGGGATGCATGAAGCATGGGTCAGTTTAGTGTGTTGTTTCATCTAACCATTTTCTTGTGTAATCTTCCAATCACTCTGTGTGTGTCTTTCCTGTGTGATTGCAGTGCTTTCTCTTTCAAATTGCAGGCAGTTATCGAATCTCCAGAAAAACAGCTAACTTTAAATGAAATCTACAACTGGTTCCAAAACACTTTTGCATTCTTCCGGAAAAATGCTGCCACCTGGAAGGTTTGTATGGTGACATAGCTAGGGAATGTGACACAACATCATGGTGGCAAGCCATGGACAGCAGCGCAATCACAAATCTCAGCTACTGCAATGCAGATTGTATCCTGTTGAGCATATTTGATCAGTTAACCCCCACCCTCCACCCTCACCCCCCACCCCAACACATCTCCATGACCCTCATTTTTCAGAGGAGGGGCATGGTTGGAAACTTTGAATGAAATTGGGAAGAAAGGTGATTGTATGCTGTACTGAACTGCCACCTTGATGAGTTATTAACTGTATATTACATGTGGGTTTTATTATTACTTTAATTCAGGCCATAATAGACTCTCCTAACAAACAGTTAACCCTAAATGAAATATACCAGTGGTTCACAAACACATTTTCTTACTTTAGAAGAAATGAGGCCACATGGAAGGTAAAACAAATTCTCATTGTAGATGTGTTCTTGAGTTTATTTGCTTATATTTGCCCATGAATTAATATATCGCATTGTAATTTTTGGAAAAATTACAAATTAGGAAAAATTGTTGTGTTAATCAGAAAGATTTCATTTTCTTAAAATTTGAGTCAAAAGAGGAATATTTATTGATATGTTATATGGTGTATGTATAGAAATAATTACACTGCTGATTTTTTTTTTTTTTTTTTT